CCACGCGCATGATGGGCCCCCACCCATCGGCGCACAGATTTCTGTCACGTGCGAAAATCCGGCGCGCCCACGTTGCGCCCCCCCTGGGCGCCGTGGACATGAAAACTTGCACCCCGCGCGCACGCGCCAGGCGCACGTTGGGCCCCCGCCCCCTCCGCACATGCATTGTCACGCATCTAGAACCCAACGCGCCCAACAAGTTGGGTCCCCCTCTGAGGGGCCGTGGACACGTGAGAACGCGCGCCCTGCGCGCACGCGCCAGGCGCATGTTGGGCCCTCCCCCTCAGCGCACAGATGTTTCGAACGCGCAAAGAAGCCGACGCACCCACGTTGGGTCTTTCCTTGGGGGCCGCCGACACATGCGAACGCGTGCGCCGCGCGCACGCCAGGCGCATATTGGGTCCCCACCGTTCCGCGCACGCACTGTCACGTGTAGAGCATCCGGCACGCCCAAGTTGGTTCCCCCTTGAGAGCCGTGGACACGTGAAAACAGGTGTTTCGCGCGCACGCACTTTGGTCCTTCCCCGGTATTTTTACGTGTGAAGAACCAGCCGCGCCCAAGTTGGGTCCCCCTTGGGGGCCGTGGACACGTGAACACACGTGCCTCGCGCGCATACGCCCTGGTCCCCCCCTCTGCGCACGAAACTCGACCTCTGAAGAATCCGGCGGCCCCAGTTGGATCCTTTGTTTGCGGCCCCGTCGTTGCCGAAATGCGCGAAAACACGTACCGAACGCATGCGTGCCAAGATTGATGTTGGAGACCCCCTCCCTCTGCACACGTACTTTTACGTGTCCAATTCCGAGGCCTGTTGCTTGGCACCCTTCTGGTGGAGGGCCATTGGCCCGCAACTAAAAGAGAATCCTGTGCTCGAGCCTTGACGTGAAAAAGGCACCGGGGAAGTCTGAGGAATTTGGAGGTTCCCTTGAGGACTCACGTGCGTATGTGTCACGAGTTTGAGGGTTCGGGGAAAAAGGCACCGCGCTTGTTCGCCTGACTCTGTTATTCCGTGGTCGCGGAGCCCAGGTGGAAGAGTTGGACAGGTTGGTGAAGACGGCCGAGAAAGAGAAGGAGGACGTCATCTTCTTTACACTTCTGGGCCATCAAAGCATGCTCGCTCTCCCTGTTCATGTTGCACTGCCCTGGGCGTTACTTGGAAAAAGACTGTGAGGATCAGGGCGAAGAGGAGGAGGCCAATGGGGAGGAGGAGGAGGAGGAGGAATAGGAGAAGGATGGGGAGGGGGAGGGGGAGGGGGAGGACGAAGACGACGACGACGACGAGGGCAACCATGGCGGGGACCACGGCAACAGCGTAGCATTGCAGTATGCATGTATGTTGCATGGGTTGACCTTCAAGGCAATAGCAGTGGCAACAGCAACGATCACGATAATCTTCATGAGATTGGAAGTGCTCATGTTTCTTCATCTGATTCCCCGTGAACTGTCTTGTTCCGTTTTGGCCGAGTATGGGGTGAGGTTCGGTGGAGCAGACAAGGATGGTTGAAGTCTTGATTAGCTGGGCAACATCTGAACCATGGAGTCACAGCACCTCCAGCCCCGCGCAGATGCAGAGCATTGTGAAATGGAGGGGGGACAGACCACTTGGTGAAGATTCACTCCTCCACGTGGGTTGGTTCCATCGCCTTGGGCACTGGATTGGGAGTAACAAGTGATAAGAATGACGCCGTCGTTCATTACTCATTCGACTTCCAAAAGTTCGTCGTTATGACTGGCGTTCCGAATGTCCCCACCCGCCCATCCAGAAACGAGGCCCAGGCGAAATGCATTGATGAGGAAAGTGTAGGAGCATGCAGTGAAAGAAAAAGGCAGGGCAGCCATGGAACCGATGACCAGGATCAGCCTTAGAATGTCCAGGACTCGGAGCCTCTTGGCAGCGTACTTGGGCCATCTTGGAGCCCTCTTGGGGCCACTGTGAGGGTCTTTGGGGCTGTCTTGCGGCCCTCATGGGAGCCATCTTCGAGGCCAGCGATCAAAGAAGGGGGTTACTAATTTCGGTCGTCGCTCGGAGGGGGGTTTCTTTGGGGGGTTCTTGGGACGCTATTGGGCACTACTGGGGCCGTCTTGGGGCCCTCTTGGGCCTTCTTGGTGCTCTCTTGGGCCATCTTGGAGCTCTCGAGGCTTCAAAAGCCTATCCGGAGCGGAATGCAGAGAAAGCAAGAATTCTGTATGTCCTTGAGGAAGGATTGGGGCATATTGGGGGGGCGTCCTTGGGAGGCTCCGTGGCCACTTGGAGCCGTTTTGGAGCGGTATTGGGGGCTATCTCGAGCTAGTTTGGGCTATACTGTAAGATCTTGGAGGCCATCTTGACCTACCTCAGGCCATCTTGGAGTCAGCTTGGGCCACCTTGGACGCTCTGACCGCTTGCGGGCGGTCGCAAGAACAAGCTCACTTCAACCACTCACACCCTGAATCTCGAAAGTGCTGGTGGGATCCATTTTTCACATTCCCAAGGCTTGCGCCACATCCGCCGACCCCTTGGTGAGAGTCTTTTCTTGGGGCTAGCTTGGAGCGTATTTGGGACTTCTGGAGCCATTGCGAAAACCATCACCGAACCGTCGATCGCTGGACAAATTTACCGCATGGGGGGGGCGAGAAGGAAGAGGAGGAGGAGAAGGAGGAGGATAAGGGAAAAGGGGAAATGGAAAAGATTCCATGAAATGCAAAGGGAGGTCCCCGCCCAAACCTCAAGGTTGGGTTGGGTGCCTCTGTCCCATCCCACCACCGTGTCTGAGTTGTAGGTCAGAGACGTCTGGGATGCATGCGAGAGTCTGTTGGGATGCCTCTGTGGGGGGTCTCTTGGATGCATGTTTGACAGGTGTTGAAGCTTCTTGGGGGCCTCTTTGGGGCACATGTCAGGTCTCTCGCAGGGTTCCTGGGGCCGTTTGGGCGCATGTTAGGGGCCTTGGGAGCGAGCTTGGGGGGAAGGCCTGAAAGGTGAGCTCGCGTCCCCTATTTGGGGAACCGGTTGGCGCCCTCTTGTGGACATTTTGGGCCGCCTCGGGGCTCTCTTGGGCACGTTTGGGGGCCTCTTTAGCTGACTTGGGGCGATCTCAGGGGGCCTCCTAGGCCACCATGGATCGGAATCCCGGAAATGCGAAAGTACTAAAGTCGTTCAAACCAAAACAAGCAAAATCTATGGTTATTGCCTTTGGGGGCCCTCTTGGGTGAGCGTCTTGGTGCTCTCGTAGGCTTCCTGAGGCCACCCTGAGCGTCTTGGAGCGGTTTTTCGGGCAATTATTGTGGCAATCTTGGGCTCACCTGGGGCCACCTTGGCTGTCTTGGAAGTTTCGGAGGCCGTCAGGCAGGCGATTTGGGACGCCAGGCAGCCCAGAGAGCCCGACACCCCACCCCCACCCCAGCCTCGAATCTGCAATTTGGGACCCCACTGGGGGGATTGCAGGGGGGAAGGATCCCACACGCCTGGAGATCCCAAAGGGGTCGGCAAATTCGTCATACGTATCACTGAGAGATGCTGGGGATTCGTAAGGAGGGACCAGGGGTAGGATGACAGATGGTCAGGGTCGGAGGAGGGCAAGGAGCCCGAGATTTGGAGGGCTCTTACTGTTGTCTGCCCACCTTTCCGCGTCCTCTCCCCTCACCAGGCGCGCCGACAGGGGGGGACTGGCTCATGGGGGGAAGGATCGACCCCCAATCGTGCCCCACCGCGCCCAGGAACGTGCGGTTTCACTATCGAGGGCATGTCGCCGATCTATCGGCGATGCATCGCCGATTACAAGTCAACGCTTCCTTCCCTGAGCCGGTCCCCCCCTTTCGTCCCCCTTCGCTTCTGTTTCCCCATCCCTTCCCTCACCCTCCCCCATTCGCTCCCTCGCCGCCCTCCACAACCGACCTCCTCCTTCAGGACTCAGAGGCCGAGGTGAAGAGATGGGCCAGAAAGGCGGTGGTCGCCAAGAAGGAACTGGTTGCCACGCCCGCGCACGCCGCCTCGATTTTAAAGGATAGCGAACCCATTGGCACTTCATTACGCACAATGCTTCTGGCGTTAAATGTGTGTGTGTTCGTGGCATAAGGTGAATGTGATATCTTACATCCATTGCTGGCCAGTCTCATTTCAGCACACTGCGCGAGTCCTCACACATGTTCAGCAGCAGTACTTTTGTAGCACTTCAATTATGCTCCGAATGTCCTTATTTTCCTTCCGCGGACGAGATCTCATGATCACCCCATCTCTCTTCCCCTGCGGAGAAAGACGCAGGGAAAGTGGCGCCAATCATCTAATGTGCGCCAAGAACATACTATGTCTGACGTCCTCGCGGAATGTTGTTAACCAGCGCTGGGCCTATGTTGATGTCGTTGTTGATCTCCTCTGTCCCCGCTGGTCTGTTGCGGTTTGGGCAGGCGGTCGTGTTGAGCGGTCATCATTGCATCAGCTGCTCGCCGCCGACCCGAGAAATCCGCGCGGACTTCCGTAAGTTTGTATGAGGTGTTCCAGAATTGTCCTGCTCTTAGATTTCTACGTGAACTGGTCTCAAGCACCGTGGTGAGCGTGTCCTGGATCGGTTCGCGTTGACAGTTGGCGCCCCCGAGTGCTGCCAGCCTCGAGGAAGAGGAGGAGGAGGAGGAAGACGGGGAGGAAGGGAGAAGGAGAAGGCGAGGGGGAAGTGGGAGAGGGACGTAGGAGAGCGAGGGGGGAGGGGGTCCGCTCACTTTCCCCTCTGACCCGAAGCAGCACAGTCTCGCATGTGGCCGCCATTTCGTGTTCAGTTCTGCTCGCGCGAGTTCGTGTCCCAGGACGCGCAGCCGCCCGCGGACCTTCAGCACCTTAAACGCATTAAGATGGAACGGTTCACGCGGCGACCGACACCAGAGCCTACGCTATCATTACAGCAAGTTGCCGCGCAGCATCCCGTTGTGTGTTCGATGTTCCCGCAGCGCGTAAGGGTCACAAGGCCTGAAAGTAATGTTGCCTGGATGTGGTTCACTGATTCACGTACAGGTGGGAGAAGGTGGTGAAAGGAAGAGTGAGGAGGAGGACAAGGAGGAAAAGAACATGGGCAGCAATAACTTGTTATTGCAAGTCATAAGTCGACGCCGCAGGCGGGAGTGCCCCGCCGTCGGCGCCCCGCGCGATGGCGGGAGCCCGCATGTCCACCGCCGCGCGCCGCCGCAACGCTGGCGGGCCAAGCCCCCGCGCGGCTATGCTGGCGTGCCGCGCGGTCGTGCGTCGACGTGTTCCTCTCCTCCTCCTCCTCTTAACATCACGGTCGTAAGGTCTCCCCTCTGCCGCGTAGCCGCGGGGCGGGATATCAAGTACCTGGCCATGTACGCAGCGCCCTACCTGCTCAGCGTGCATTCAAAGGTGGGGCGGCTGGTCCGGGCGTGGTCCTTTGCCGGCCAGTGCGCCGCCTTGGGCCACCCCTGGGGGCGTTGCGCTGCGCGTCCGTTCGCTAGCGTGCGTCGGACGCGACCGCGCTCGCGCTTCGTTTTCTGCACATCGCTAGCCAGGGCAGCTGTAGCAGTGTCTCGGCAGAGCTGACGGACCCAGAGCGGCTTCTATTGGGAGTCCAGTGTGACTTGTACCATTACAGTATGACCTTCGCGTCGTCATCCATGCCCCGCAGGGCATCTTGGGGTAGGCCCAGAGGGGCCGTGGCGTTGCCACAGGACCCAGAGTGGTCTCTGACGCTGGTCCTGCGAGTCTTCAGCACCATTCGGGTCTCCATGCTGGCCCAGAGCGACCGCATGATCATCCTCATCGGCATCCGACGCCCAGGGGCTCGTCGCGCGTCGCTACAGACTCAACGAGGCCAGCGTTCCGCAGTGCGGCGCTCCAGCTTGCATGTGCGAAGTGACTGTTACGCCAGCGCCCCCCCGCGTGTGACTTGCGATTTTGCTATATTCGCCCGCATCACGGCCGACAGCGCGCCGCTGGGCTTCCTGCGCCCGGACCCCGCGTTCGGGGCGGAATGGCAGGATATCGCATATAAGGCCGCCACTGATTGCCCCGGAGCGAATAAGTTGGCGACGCCAGCATCGCTGGGTAACATGCGCATCGAGGAGCTGACTGGCTCAGAGCCATTGTCGGCGGCTCTAGAGGGCGCACTTCGTCGCGCGCTGGGGCGCGCCACAACGGCCAGCACGCAGGTGATCGCACGCGCGCGCCCGGCGCGCCCTTGCAACCGCAGGCTTGCGCCGGGACAGTGGCCAACGCTGAGATTGCCGCCTCAGTGCAACACCTCGACGCGGGCGCAGCGCTCGCGACGATCTCGCTGGACGGTCTCAGCCAGACGATTTGGCCGAGGCACGGCATTCGCGCGCGCGTGCGCAAGCGGCGGCGGCCGCGCTTGCATCATAGCGGCAGGAGCGAAGAATGCGACTGGCTGGCGGCCGAAGTCGCGAGGGCTAAGAAGCGGGGATACGCGAATCCCCTCATTTACGCTGAGTTGCGAGGCCCCCCCCGACCTGAGCCGCGAGCGCCCACGGGGTCGACGGCGCCGGCGATGGAGGCGAGGCGGCAGATTGCAGCGCTAGAGGGCAGCGCGCGCTGTCGCGGGCCCAGCGGCACCTCGCCCACGACGCACGGGCAATAGCAGCTGCCGCGACGAGGCAGCTGTCTCGCGCGCGCTGCGTGGAGCACCAGCACTTTGCCCTACAGGCCCGCGCTGCCCCGGCGCGAGCGCGCCGCGGCGCTCACTTCCAGCGCTTGTCGCAAGGTGGCGTTGGAGGCCCCGCTCGCGGGTCACAAGGCGGGCCCCGGGCTTCTGCGCGATAAATTCGCCCGCCAGAGTTGGGCCGAGCGCTCGCGCCAGAGCGGCGTTGAACCGCTCAACGTCGAGGGGGCCGCAAAAGGAATCGACTCGCCGGTCCCACGGACAGCAGAAACGAGTTCGATCGCGCGGCAAAGGTCGCGCGCGCGCGGGCCTGAGCGGCACGGTCGCGCGCGGCCATCGCGTCGCAGGCGCAGGGGCAGGCCGGCCGCGCTGGCCGCGCCCTCGGGCAGCGGCCGCGGCAGCGGCCGCGCGGCGTCGAACAAAAGCGCGGCGGAGGCGCGCTCCCTCCACTCCGGCTCGTCCTGGAACAGCGGCGACCGGGGCCGCCCGACGCGGCGCAATGGCGCGCGGGGCAGCGCGAAGAGGAGCGCGCCCCCCGCGCCGACTGCGCCGCCCCAGCCCGCGAAATGGCCGAAGAGGTGAAGAATGCGTTTGCGCCCCCGCTCGAGGCGCAGTCGCTGTCAGCAGTTTTGTTACCGGCAGCTCGCGGCCTGCGCGCGCGGCGGGCAATGCGGTCGGTCGCCCGGAAGGGGCCCATCTTGCTTCGCGCGCGACGCCGGCGGCGCCGCCGCGCATTTGCTTCGCGGCCGAACACTCATCGCCGCGGGCATCGCGCTTACTTTCTTCGCGCGAAAGCATTGTGAGCTAGTTGCAGCTTGCCCGGCGCAGGCGCGCGAAGTGGCGCACGCCGTGCAACGGCAGCGCCCGCGGGCAGCACGCTAAGAAGCCTGCGCTCGCGCAAGAATCGCCATCTCTCGGTCAGCATGGCGGCGCAGTCAAGCGCAATTGTTTGCGCGGTTCCAAGCGCGGCGAGGCAGCACGAGACTGGGCCGCGCGTCTAGGCGCGCGCGGCGCCGCGCGCGCAGGGCGCGAATGCGTCGGACGCTCGTTGCAGGCGCGAAAAGCTAGCTTACCTGTTGATCAAAGGGGCGGGCCCCAAGTGGCGACCGCCGCCCATGGGCCCGCCCCTGGAGACGCCAGCCCCCACCCTGCGGGACGAGCAGGATGCGAGGCATGGCCGGCTCGAGATGCCCTGGGCGGAGATGCGCTTCGCGCCGGCGCGGGCCGCGCCTTGCCCCAGGACGCGCGGCGCGTCGCTATGGGTTTCGCTAAGCATTGAGGAGGCGCGCATCGGCCTGGTCAAGGTGCTCACGCGCGAGATGTCGCAATACTTTGGTGAGGAGCCGGGGCGGGCGCGGCCGCGCAGGGCGCGCGCAGCCCGCGCGGCGCCGCGAAGCGAACGATCGCCGACGCGATGGGGCGCGCGCGCAGCCACAAAAGTGCGAGCCTGGGCGCGGGCCGGGGAACGCCGGGGCACGCGCTATACTGCGCGGACGCGACTATGTTGCGATTAGGGCGCGCACGGGACTGAGCAGGCAGGGCGCCGCAGAGCACAGTTAGGCCGGGCCCAGCGCGCGAGCGGGCCTTGGCGCGAGACGGCTGCGCTCGCTGTCTTGCATGAAACGATGCGACAGATACCAGAGCCTCCGCGCCCCCCGGCGCGAAGGCGCGCGGCAGCGAGGTCCGCGCATGGACGGCGGTCGCAGGCCAGAGTGCCAGAGCCACCTCCGCCTCCGCCATCGAATAGGCAGCGCAGCGGGACGGGGCGGCGTCTGCCGACGCCCCCGGCATCCAAGCGACCGCGGCTTTGCAACCCGGACAAGCGCGATCTGAAACGCGAATTCATCCGGCGGGCTCAGGCCGGGACGTCTGAATTCGAGAAGCCCGCCACTCCGGCGCCCGACGCGTCGGCCGCAGCACGTTGGATCAGCGAGCGCGCGCCCGGCGCGGTCCGGAGAGCGCGCGATGAAGCCGCATGGCGCATTGAGAACCGGGCACGCCGCTCGAACAGAGCGGCGCCATCGAGGCATGGCACAGCGGCGCCGACGCGGGCGCCCGCGGCGGCGCCAGGCACGTAAACGGGCCGCTGCTCGAAGAATTGGCGGCCAGTGTCGGGCACATTGGCCGCGATTGCGTTGAATCTTTCCGTCGGGCGTGACCACGCGCCACCGCTGCCGGTCGCAGCGCGCCCGCCGCGCGCGAGGGGGCGCCCTTGTTGGCGGGCATCGGTGAGCCTGCTACGCCCCCGCCAGCAATGCCGGTCAAGGACCTCATCAGAGGCGCCAAGGCGGCGAACAAGCGATTGACCGCGCGGTTGCGGTCCGACCCAAAAGCACAGGAGTTG